AGACACACTCTTACCGTACACAGGGGAAATGGGTCCTCAGCTACACTTCAGCAGCACCTACTCAGAGGAGTTCAGTTACCCGGCTCGGGTCAAACCCACCCGGCCCAGACCGTCCTCTGCATATCGCAGGAACAATCCTCATCCACGGCCGGTAAGAGCTTCTTGAACACATGCTCATCACCATAAATGAGCATTTGTTCTATTTATATGGGTCTCTTTTTAGCATTAGGGGTTTTATATTACCTTTGTATATAAATGTAGTCAATTTATATAGAGAGCTATATATTCACTTGATTTAAGGTTGGTAAGTCTCTTTGGCTCACCAAGGCTGCATTTGTTTGGTAAAAAAAAAAGCAGTATAAACAGTAAAATAGTGAAATATCATTATAATTTAAAATAAAAGTTTTCTATTTTAATATACAGTATTTTAAAATGTAATTTATTTCTGTGTTGATAAAGCTGAATTTTCAGCAGCCATTACTCCAGTCTTCAGTGTCACATGATCCTTCAGAAATCATTCTAATATGCTGATTTGCTACTCAAGAAACATTTCTTATAATTATACATGTTGCAGACAGTTGTGCTGCTTCAAATTTTGGTGAACATATATATTTTGAACATACATAATTTTGATGAATAAATGTTCAAAAGAACAGCATATATAAATCTTTATACAGTTTTGATCAAATTAATGTCATTGCATTCAAATCTACGTTTTCATATCAAAGAAATTATAATTGCAAATTTATATTTCAGAAGTTAGAGATGAATAATAAGCATTTATACCTTATTATTTTGCTCTAAGCCTCTAACCACATGTAGAGGTTAATGTAGCGTATAGGATGTAAAGTGAAATGTATAGCTCCTAAAGTGTGTTACATTCATTATTTACTTGTTTTGAAATTTTGTGAGGTGTTTGTTTGTTTCCATTCCCTCAATTAGCATTATTTCACTGCTAATGTGTGAATGACTCGCATCTGAATGAGCAAAACAATTGGGATAAACTGCAGTATTGAGGTAAAAAAAAAGCACTGTAAACAACAACCAACATTTTTCAATTAACTTGAATTTAACTGCCCTGACAAAACATTAATAATTCACCAGCATGGAGAGCATTGTAGCCACTTGATTCTGCAAAACAACCTACTTGTGGGGGGCCTTGTACAGGAGGCTCCGGTTACACTGTTTCCAAACCACTGAACAGGGATCGGAGGTTGGGATCGACTCTCACTATGTTAGCAAAACAATCTAACCTCTGCTGGGTCAGTGTTACAGGCTATTAAGTGCCACTAGGGTTAGTTTTCTGAATCCTTTTTGCCTCCCAGGACTTCCTGATGCCAAGAACGCTGCAGACAGGATACGGCTCACGGAAATACTTTCAGACAACCACTCCTTCTACCTCTTTTCTACCTCCAGTAAGACACATATCAGTCCAGTATCCAGGTATCAATACAACCTGTGTCACTACAGCTGAGGTTGAGTCAAAAGAATCACTGTCATTGATCAAATCAGTGTATTGCAAATATTTGAGTGTTTAGTACCTGCTCCAAACAAATATATTTGTATATATTGGAACATAATATGATATATGTAGCAATATATCTACAGTATATCACTATTTTCTCTTTGCTCTGTATTCACGTTAAGACGTACAAACAGCACATGGACAGTCAATGCAGAGCTCATCACAAAGAGACTCCAAACCACCTGCGGTCTCGTCTGCAGTTTGTACACTGCCACCTGCTGCCTGGCTTCTCAAACCACAACCAAACAACTTTGCTCATGCAACAATCTCAAACACACAAGGGTAAAGCTTTTGCAATTCTATATTTGAAATGCATGGGCGTTGCATAATTAGTTTTAGTTTAACCTAAATGTTATTTTATGACATTGTTTTATGTTTTTGTGCCTGAATAAACAAGATTTATATCCAATCCAAACCAATACCTGAACTGTAGTATTTTTCTGACTACTACACTCTCAGTTTATGAACAGATCATGCTATGATTTTGTCCTCAAGTTCATATCTGCCATACTCTTTAGGATTTTTTTTTTGTACTCAGGAAATATTCAGAAACAGATCGTATCAGATCAGCTTGGAACCAGCAGATGGACATCATGCCGTCTTTAAAAACCTTCAAACACCAGGTTACCCATCATCACAGATCACGCTCAAAATCCACTACTGATTGCAGGTATTTTATTCCAAAATCTTGAGAGAAAAAAAGCAAGCAAACAAATAAATCAAAACAATATAACTAACTAACTAAATAAAAAAGTCTCTTTTGCTCACCAAGGCTGCATTTATTTGATCATGCAGTAAAACAGATCCAAACCAATACCTGAACTGTAGTATTTTTCTGACTACTACACTCTCAGTTTATGAACAGATCATGCTATGATTTTGTCCTCAAGTTCATATCTGCCATACTCTTTAGGATTTTTTTTTTGTACTCAGGAAATATTCAGAAACAGATCGTATCAGATCAGCTTGGAACCAGCAGATGGACATCATGCCGTCTTTAAAAACCTTCAAACACCAGGTTACCCATCATCACAGATCACGCTCAAAATCCACTACTGATTGCAGGTATTTTATTCAAAAATCTTGAGAGAAAAAAAGCAAGCAAACAAATAAATCAAAACAATATAACTAACTAACTAACTAACTAAATAAAAAAGTCTCTTTTGCTCACCAAGGCTGCATTTATTTGATCATGCAGTAAAACAGTAACATTGTAAAATATTACTATAATTAAAAAAAAATAGTTTCTATTTTACTATATTTAAAAAAAATAATTTATTCCAGTAATAATAACGCTGAATTTTCAGCAGCTATTAGTCTCCAGTGTCATGATCTTTTAGAAATCATTCTAATATTCTGATTTGGTGCTAAAGATGCATTTCTTATTAAAAAAGTCGTTAAAAAATTATAATAAAACAAAACAAAACAAAACAATAAAACTAACTAAATAAAATACACAAATACACAAATCAAGTACATAAATAAATAGGCCTACACATCCAATTTTAACTAACAGCAAGCACTAGAGATTGATCAGATTTCAAACATTTCAAACATATTATAACTCGATATTTTGATTCAGTGCTTTTAATGTAATCATGCCATTCTGCTAAGCTGTAAATGCATCTGAATGTCTGAGAGGATCCCTTTTAAATCCAGATGTTTTGGTTTGCAGTGAAGGACACAGCTGTTTCCATGTGGTGAAGCCATATAAAGTCGGACACTACATCATCCACCCAGAGTTTGTGTCAGAAGCAAAGCACTAAAAGCCACAGTGCTTGGGCATTTTATATCTTTTTTTTTTTCATTTATTGTCAGTTTAATAATGTAATTTTACAGTGTATTATTGAGGTACGTTAAGTGTTTGGAGATCCTGCCTTGTAAAATATGCTGTTTTATGTTTTTGTGCCTGAATAAACAAGATTTATATCCAATCCAAACCAATACCTGAACTGTAGTATTTTTCTGACTACTACACTCTCAGTTTATGAACAGATCATGCTATGATTTTGTCCTCAAGTTCATATCTGCCATACTCTTTAGGATTTTTTTTTTGTACTCAGGAAATATTCAGAAACAGATCGTATCAGATCAGCTTGGAACCAGCAGATGGACATCATGCCGTCTTTAAAAACCTTCAAACACCAGGTTACCCATCATCACAGATCACGCTCAAAATCCACTACTGATTGCAGGTATTTTATTCCAAAATCTTGAGAGAAAAAAAGCAAGCAAACAAATAAATCAAAACAATATAACTAACTAACTAAATAAAAAAGTCTCTTTTGCTCACCAAGGCTGCATTTATTTGATCATGCAGTAAAACAGTAACATTGTAAAATATTACTATAATTAAAAAAAAATAGTTTCTATTTTACTATATTTAAAAAAAATAATTTATTCCAGTAATAATAACGCTGAATTTTCAGCAGCTATTAGTCTCCAGTGTCATGATCTTTTAGAAATCATTCTAATATTCTGATTTGGTGCTAAAGATGCATTTCTTATTAAAAAAGTCGTTAAAAAATTATAATAAAACAAAACAAAACAAAACAATAAAACTAACTAAATAAAATACACAAATACACAAATCAAGTACATAAATAAATAGGCCTACACATCCAATTTTAACTAACAGCAAGCACTAGAGATTGATCAGATTTCAAACATTTCAAACATATTATAACTCGATATTTTGATTCAGTGCTTTTAATGTAATCATGCCATTCTGCTAAGCTGTAAATGCATCTGAATGTCTGAGAGGATCCCTTTTAAATCCAGATGTTTTGGTTTGCAGTGAAGGACACAGCTGTTTCCATGTGGTGAAGCCATATAAAGTCGGACACTACATCATCCACCCAGAGTTTGTGTCAGAAGCAAAGCACTAAAAGCCACAGTGCTTGGGCATTTTATATCTTTTTTTTTTTCATTTATTGTCAGTTTAATAATGTAATTTTACAGTGTATTATTGAGGTACGTTAAGTGTTTGGAGATCCTGCCTTGTAAAATATGCTTGGGTGCAGCTTCATTTTATTGACTGTAGAATGTATTTTTGGATCTAAATGTGCATTACATGACAAATAAACAATGTCTATGATGTGCCTGTTAAATGTTTGTTATTTTGTCTTACAAACATTACCATGGGAACCATAGTAGCCTAAGTACAACATATTCAAGCTTGAGCTTCTTCATAAAATAGGTTACACATGACACATATTAAAATAAAGTAGTTTTTAGTTTTAAAGTAGTGATCGTAGTACCTGGTATTTTGGCGGGATGGGTTACCATGGTATATTTTTGTATATTTTTGAGATCCACAGAATACAAACTTGGTAAGCGCTGTTTTCTTTGTTAGACTAGTTGCTGACAGCCAAACTCAATCCGCAATATTCACACTTTCGCTTTCGCCGAGTAGCCTATAAAACTCAATTTCCCAGAGTTGCAGAGTTTGTGTGAAGAGCGAGTCGCCACATAAACTCCTCCCATAACAAGACACGGAGTTCAACGTCTTGAATTGTTCGAGGGAACATGTCAACAAGACACGAAACCAACAGTCCTGGAGCTGGTAAGTATGTTATTTCACGTAACTATTCATGTTTAGGCATTTAAATAGCGAATTCCTCCTCTCAGCCTCGGTAATACACTGCGTGTGTTTTACAGTCGACTCCCCTTGCCTGATATCGACCACTGGCTCTGTCTTGTCTTGTTTCATATGTCTCCTTTTGTGATAAAATAACGTTACTGAACTGTTTTGTAAAGAGGTTTTCTTAGTCGTTATTCTATAGTAATGTGACCATTTAAGCAGTTTTAGACCAGTCACAATGTTATTGTGGGGACTACCGCAAGTCTCAGGGCTATGTTACACTTTGGCCGATGAGTTATTAAAATAAGAAGCATGCAAGCCTCTTTAAGAGGTCAGCCAATATTAATCGTGTGTCCAGTGCTTGGCTATTTTAGTAAAAGTTCACTCATCATACAACGTGGTGATACAACTCTCTGACCTATTTACATGTCTATGTATGTACTGTCAGTGTCCTGTTGAATAAATTAAGGTAGCAAAGACTGAAGAACCATTGTTTTTTGTAGTCACATGTTCCGAATCAGCAAAATTTTGTTTACTTGAGTGCTGTGAGATAATACATGATTGCTTCATCCCTTCAAAAACATTTCTTGTTAGGATAGGCTTAGGCAAGATAGGCATTTAACTATTAGATTTATTCATTTACTTGGCAAAGTATCCTTGTTAAACATACCCGTTTGTTGTCAATCACTGTTTCTTCTTCGGTCAATGTCTCTGCATGACAATTAAAGTTGCTCAACCTACTTTGCAAAATCTTCTTTCATTTAGGGAAGAACTAAATAAAGTGTGTTGTCAGAGAATCACATGCCTCTTGTTACTAGTGAAAATGTCCATTATCAGCAGTACTGAATAGAGTGGAACAGTAGAATAATGTAGGATATTTTAAATGATATTTTATTAGAGTTTTGATATAATGGCATTATTTGTATTTTTAGGAGTAGTTTTGCTCTTTCACTTTTCCCAGTTTCTTCAGCATTGTTGCTACAGCCGTACTACTAGCCAATTTTAAAGTCGGCATGAAAACAAATGGACCCTATCTATATTTTACATGCATATTAAGAATCTTATTATAAGCAATTAATCCATGTATTTTTTCCATTTTTTTAAAACATGCATTGAACAAAGACCATGCCCTACATTTTTTATTCTCTAATCAGTTACACTCGGATATATGTCACAATACAGAAGAAAAATTGAACGCCCACTTCCATAAAGCATTGCAAATGACATTGAGTCAATTCGTACACCTTCAAACAACTATAGTGAATAATTTAATATTTTGCCATTATTTCTGAATCGATTTAGCTGTGTCATTTACAGTGCTTTGTGGGACAAGTATAAATGCATGATTACAAGAACAACCTTTTTTACTTCTCAAATATAATATGCTGATTTGAAACGTTTATTTGGTTGTTTTGATTCAAATCTCTTTATTCATTTTTTTTGTGACTATTGACAAAATTAGACTTCCCCCCAAGACCACTGAAAAGGTGAGCAGTCACTGTTGCACCTTATTAGTGTGCTGTACATCTCCCTCAAAAACATAAAGAGAGGGCCTCTGCATGGGCAGTTCAGCTCTTCTAGGTCTTTCTTCAGGAGAAAACATTGTCCATTAACTGTGCTTTTCATTTGCACTTAGCCAGTCTCAAAGTTTTGCAGGTGGCGTAACTGGCGTTGCATACTGCAGACCCAGAGGCCCTTGTGTTGTCCTCTGGTGTAGTCAATTCACACACTGCCACAGTGAGAAACCTTGGCAGCATGAATAAACTGCTTTTGTTTATGCCTTTACCTCCCAGCAGACCAATTCAGGCCGATATCAAAGCTAAAATTATAGTGTTTTTTGAATACTTAATGTTAGAATTTGTACTGTGATTCCTACATCTGCATAACAAGTAGATTTCTGTTTGGACTTTGTTTCAGTCTTTTGCATTGACACTTTTTGCCACTCCTTTTTCCGCAGGCTCATAAGGGTAATGAACAAGAGGAAAATGCTACACTGAGAGAAGAAAAATGGATGCATGACTCCATTTTGCACAAATTTAGCAAGTTATTCACTTTTGTTCTCTGTCTGCCAAATGTATTCTGTAGACTGTATAAAATTTTAGCCTTCAGTTTTATCTTCTTTTCAACTGTGAATTCAAAAACTAAGACTCATAATGTACCAAGTAGTCCCAGGAGGCACAGGAGGTACAATTACTGATGGCATGCCCATCAAGAAGATAGACAAGGACAGTCGCCCTCTGGTGGGGGCTGGAGTTATTGGTGCGATTCTGGTGATTGCAGCAGTGACTGCATGGTGCTACTATATCGCCTCCCTTCGTAAAGCTGACCTGCTGAAGACAGAATTGCTTGATCTGAATAAGGATGGCTTTCTCATCCGTAACCAGGCTGGGGGGATTGTCCTGAAAATGGGTTTCAGGTCAGTATGCATGGTGCTTATATTTTTCTGATCGCAAAACGTTCTGATAGCACTACAGACACCAGTTAAATGGGTCAGTGAAAAAGAGAAAACGTGCCAGGTTCAAGTCATTATTCAAATATATTGAATAATTAATACATACCATTGTTTTTGGGGAGTTGCAATTCTAAAAAAAACTGATTTTTGCTTATTGATTTCAGATCTGGCACACTTGATCTCGACTCCTGCTCAAAGGAGGGAGTGATCCTTCGATGCTCGCGTTCGTTTGCTGGCAAGGTGAACTTCTTCATTATGACGGTGAAACCAAAGGAGACGGTGGTGTGTTACCGTGTGCGTTGGGAAGAGTTGGAGTCAGACCGACCTGTGGAACATGCCATGTCCTACAATGAATCGCACTGGTATGGTGGTGCTGAGACTGCTGTTCAGCATTGGCCTATCGCCATCTCAGGCCAGCAGGCACCCAAACCTTTTGTCACTAGCGACGTGTACTCCAATCGCCATGACTTCGGTGGCATCCTGGAGCGCTACTGGCTTTCGTCCAATGCAACTGCCATTAAGATCAATGACTCTGTGCCCTTCCACCTGGGCTGGAATGATACAGAGAAAACCATGTACTTCCAGGCACGATATCAGGACAGTCCGTACAAACCTGCACCTGGAAGACCTCCCTATGCTGAACTTAGTTACAGAGTCTGCGTTGGCCCAGATGTGACCTCTATCCACAAGGTCATGGTTCGTCGATACTTCCCCAAACCCAACAAAGTGCCAGCCAAGGAAATGTTCCGGCACCCAATATGGTCCACCTGGGCTTTACATAAGACTGACATCAACCAGGAAAAGCTTTTAACTTATGCAGAGAATATACGCAAACATGGTTTTAACTGTAGCCACTTAGAATTTGATGATCGTTATACTAGTCAATATGGGGAGTTTGAATTTGACACACAGAAGTTCCCAAATGCTTCTGCCATGTTTCAAAAGCTCAAGGCAGATGGCTTCCTGGTATCCCTGTGGACGCATCCCTTTGTGAATTATGATTCTGCTAATTTTGGGCCATGTGTACAGAAAGGCCTGTTCGTGATGGAGCCAACAGGCCAACTTCCTGCATTGGTTAAGTGGTGGAATGGCATCGGTGGAATCCTTGATTTTACCAATCCAGAAGCTCGCAACTGGTTCACGTCCCATCTTCGCTCTTTACGCCACAAATATGGCGTTTCTTCATTCAAGTTGGATGCAGGTGAGACCAACTACTTGCCCTGGCAGTTCAGAACTCGAGTCCACCTCCCCGACCCAAGCACCTTCACTCGCCGCTACACCGAAATGGCCATTCCTTTCAACGAACGCGCTGAACTTCGGTCCGGCTACAGCTCTCAGAATATCTCCTGTTTTTTCCGTCTAATTGACCGGGACTCTGTGTGGGGCTATGAACTTGGCCTCAAGTCCCTGATCCCAACCGTCCTCACCATTAGCATCCTGGGCTACCAGTTCATCTTGCCAGACATGATTGGAGGCAATGCCTATCCCAATCGTACTGATGGAAACGGCAAGCTACCAGACCGTGAGCTCTATATTCGGTGGCTGGAGCTGTCTGCTTTCATGCCCTCCATGCAGTTCTCCATTCCTCCATGGGAGTACGATGATGAAGTGGTGGCTATCGCTCAACGGTTCACTGAACTACATGAGACACTGGTGGCTCCCAGGGTCATAGAACTGGCTGGAGAAGTTCTGGACACTGGGGACCCCATAATTCGCCCATTATGGTGGATCGCCACCAGTGATGAAACGGCTTATAGAGTTGACTCACAGTTTTTGATAGGAGATGACTTGATGGTGGCACCAGTACTGGAGCCGGGCAAGCAAGAAAGGGATATCTATTTACCAGCTGGACGCTGGAAAAGTTACAAAGGAGAACGATTTGACAACAAAGAGCCAATACACCTAACAGATTATCCAGTTGATCTTGATGAAATTGCTTACTTTGAATGGGTTCAGTAAGACTTATGGCAAGCATCTGGAGTTTTGAGCATGTCTTCCATTTAAAGTGTTTGTGAAGGTGTTGATTTTTTTTTTCTTCAGGGAAATTAGCTAAAGTTACTCATCCAGGGTTTAAATTTTACAATATAAAACAGGACTGTTTAAGAAGTAAGCTTCCGGTAGCACATTCTGACATTCTTCATCAGTTTGGCTGTGATGTTTTGTGCCATTACGACAGTTAAACATACATTAGATATCTGAAGCTAATGTCTTAATCCGTGCCTTGCATTTAAACAGTGAATGTCTTTGAGATACCGGCCCAAAGCCTTGACATAATTAAGCTTTTACATATGCATCTTGCCAAACATACTGACTTTAAGGATGCTAAGGATGTATTAATAGGCTGTGACAGGTAATTTTGCCCAATGTATGCTTTGTGTTCTCTAATCTGCATTTTTAACAAGGGAAATTTTACCAGTACTGTACATAAGTCTTCCTCTTGCAAGGCATACGATATTAATTACTTTTCAAATGTTCTTCTCATAGCAAATCAACTTGTTCAATTTTGCTAGTGCATTTAAAACAGTATGGCTTTTTAACCTGCAAGCAATGGCAATGCTGCACTACAGTAAAGTTAGGCCATGCATGCAGCACATTTGTGCATAATCTGCCCTACTCTTGTCTCGTAAGCACCAATAATTGATATAATCACATTAGAAGTTTGTATGTGTAATGGGTGCTTGTGGCTGCATTGGAAATAACCAGCAGTCTTTTTTTACTCTACTTGCTATACTGTCATCATGTAGTGCCAAATGCATCACCAACAGACCTTGTTGAAGCATTACCCCATTACTGCCACATTTACAGAAACATTTCCTGCCACATAAAATACAGTTGTTTGTCTTTTCATATTAAATCGATGTGTGTTGCTCATCTTGTTTTGAATATTATGCTGTGCTGCCTAATTTTTGTGTTTTGCAATAAGGGCACAACACTAAATGCTTAGTCAGTTGATCTTTATCAGATTATATTTTTGCTGTGCAAGGGTCACCTTTGTGTTTGTTGTGTTTGTTTAATGCTCTTCCAGCAGGCTGACAATCAACTCGCACTGCAAGCTTTCTCTAATCTATGACCTTCAAGCTTATTTTTAGCTCTTCTCACACAACTGTGAAAGCGCACTCATCTACTCTGGTGAAACAATGAATCTGTCAAGCAAAGTGTCTGCTCTAAAAGTAGCTACAGAGTACGTAGACATATGGCAGCTGCCTTTCCAGTACTCGTGTACCTCAAATAACCATTTAGTGTTGCTTCATGGTATTTTAATAATTTATTTGAGGAGAGGCGTTTGGGGTGATTTTCTTCACTGGGACTATATGCTTGTGGATTTTACACTGTTGGAGATCTTGTTAATAGGCCTGACAGTGTGGGCCCCTGGTTGACCTAAACAGACTATAGACTGCTGATGTTCCAGAAACTCACCAGAGCATAGCCACAGTCAGCTTTCCACAGAGATTGATATTGTGTTAAAATGTCTGAAAATATGCAAAATGTCTCAGACTAATACATTTCTGTTTGTATTTCAAAACAAATAGTGGTGAATGAAAGTATTTATTCATTTTGTGCATAAAACTTTTTGTGCATTTTGCTTTGCATTTCACATGCCCTGGTGAAGCAAATGCCAAGTTTGACCAGCTGCACTAAAAAATAGTATCGTTCTCCAGAGCGTCACAGGAGGGCAGTGTTCACCTGCTTTTCTAGTCCTTCACTTGAAGCTTGTGAAGTGTGTTATGGCACAAGAAAATCCTGTACTTTGTTATTTCACTATTTTTCTCTCACTGAATATAATTAGCCTGATATTGAAGTAAAATGGTACCATTAAACTTTTGACCTCTCTCAAGAGTTATGAGTTATTAATTGTACTTTCTCCTCTGCATTAATTGTACTGCCCTACATTAGCGATAGACAGCGTCTTCAGTGGTCGAATGATGCCACCCACTCACTATTCAGCTCACTATTTTCCCGTTTGATAGTGTTACTGGACTTGAACAGCACATGGATTTTGGCGCTGATATGCGTTGCAATTTTGGCTCGTCTTTCCAGTGGTTATTAGTTTAGTTTCTTTGGCATTATGCAGTTGGTTCTGCCAGCCTCAGCCCTCTGTGTAGTTCAGTATGGATTTCCATCGTGTTACTAATTTGTGGGCAGTAAATGAAAAAGTTAATGATTTTATGGAACAACTTTGTTGACTTTTGTTGTAAGGTTGGAGCAGGCTGTAGGATTTCTGAACGACTAAAGAATGACAGAAGTAAGGGAAGCTTGAATAGCAACTTCAATGTTAATACCCAATCAAAACTAGTTTGCAAAAAGTTTGTAATTAAAGTTAAGTAATTACTCCATGGTTACACTTGAGATGGTAACAAAATAGACACTTTTGTGTTTTCAATTACAAATAGCCCTTTTTTAATTGCATAAACAAATAGTTTATATCTAGTTGGTGAGATATTTTATGCCAGAAGACCACTGTCCACAGGTTTTACAGAGCAGTCTTGAATGTCCGTTTGTTCCGTCTCCACCTCATTTTCCTTACTGGCGGATTGGGCTGCATCTCTTCGCTAAGTTCAAACGAGGCTTTCAGGCAGGGCGGTCATGGGTCCATGGATTCATTGAACCTCCAACCTACTCTAGCACCTCACAGGAATAGTAATTATTGCAAAGCAGGTTAAGCCTGATCAAAGTTTGAATCAGACTTTGGTCCAGCATTGAATGAAGTCTCCTCAGAGAGGCATCTTCTTGTTTTTTTGGGCCCTGCTCATCATTGGTAGATAATGACACAGTGTTGAGGTAATTTACAGGTTATATGGAGGTTGCCCCAGATCAATAAATCATTTAGTTGAGTTTGGGACAGAGGTGGAGCAGTGATTTGATGAGCAGGAAAGGGCAAAGACCAAGGGTGGCCTGGCAGTAATATGTTTGGGCCATTCGTTGGACAAGACTTACAACACAATACCACATTAAGAGAATTTAGTTTTCTCCGTTATAGCATTTCTTTTAAAATTATTTAATACACTGAATACACAAGTCAACATGTAGACAGAAAACTCATTTTTTTATTCCATGTGTTGTAGTGTGCATGCATTACTGTTGCAAAAGAAAAAATGGGTTGTCTTCATAATGTCGTCAAGATATAATTATTTGCTTCTCTAAAGCAACTTATATTTTTAGCTGACGTCACCAATGCTTCTTTTTTTCCTTTGTTTCGACTACCTATCATTTGTATGAAACCCCTACATGGCTATGGGAGATAAAATGTCAATGCTTCTGTGCTCTCTCCCAAAGATTCTGCATTGAAACACTTTTTTTAAAAATTTGTTTGCAAAACAGTTATTACCTCAGGGGAATGCAAGACATTTGGGAGAGAATGCAAAAGCAATGAAATATAATGTAATAATACAATCCTCCCATCTCATACTTTTTACGTCAACATGTCCCTTTGGGGCTCTGTAAATTTGAGACTCCTTTTCATGATTCAATCAATTCCCAATGGATAAAAACGCCTACCACTCAAATGTTAAGCATATTGATTTTAAATGCAGCTTCCAAAAAATAATCTTTAAGATTGCTGCACGATTGTAATTTACATGTGTGTGAATCACACATTTGCATGTTTAAATTTGCTCAGTCCAATACCATTACACAGTCCCGTAGACTAATATGGAGAACTACCAAATTATTAAAGTATTTTTTTCCCTCTGGTCACGTCTTATCTTGCCTAGGGCACCAGGAGAGCCAGTGCTGCCCCCTCAAAAAAATAGGTGCATGATGCCTCAGGATAAAATTAAGTCCAGTCTTGCATTGAATATCCTATTTCCCTCTGTAATGCACATTACAGAAATAAAATAATATTCAACAGCATTTCATATTTACTTGAAGGGGTAGTTCACCCAAAAATGAAAACTATTATTTAGGTAGCTACTTATCATGTCTTTGTGCAACACAAAAGTTATTTTGCAGAAAGAAGAAAAAGTCACAGGATAGTCTGGAACGACATGAAGGTAAGTAAATTGACGATAGGATTTTCATTTTTGCCTGAACTATTCCGGTAAATGTAAGAAACTGATCCAATCGCTTGATCTAGCGATCTCTCCGATCTTTTGCCTAAAACGATCCATTTTTGTTGTGAAAGGAGCGTTCATGTTTTCACCTGAAGTTCCAGCGTGATTTGGACAACATGTGGCTCTTCTAAAATGTTGGCTCTAACCAGGTCACTAACTGTGCTTTAGAGCAGGTTTACTTTGCCTGTCAATGACGCCTCCACGACATTGATTTGCACTCACGGCCTGCGCAGAAGACACACTCGTATCGATTAGCTGTCTGTATTCCATTCCTCAGAAATCAATGCTGTTTGTGGCTTTGCCAGTCTACAATGATATATTTTTGTGAAGCGAGTGGGATTAAAGACCGCATTCTAATATTGTTTGAGGTTAAGGTTAACGCGGTTTAATGAGGTGGGCGGAGTCTGCGTTACGCCGCGGCTTTCGATAACGTGCCATCGCGTTCGTCACTGAGAAATAGTTTTGCCGTTGCGCGGCTGTTGTTTATACCAGCAGAAGCTCAATGACTCATGATGACACATTGTGAGTAAGCGCACTTGTGCCCAAAAACAACAAACAACGCGGCTGTTCTCATTTAGACCCAATTGAAGCGCTCGTTCCACTGCTTGGTGATGGAATGACCTGTTAGACTGTTAAATCTGTTCAACATTTACTCCAACTGTGCCTTCATATCTTTTTCATCCGCTATAAATGGATTTGTTTGCTGTGGAACTGCATAAATTCCCCTCGAAGTTCAAGGTAGCTTCATCCGGAGGCGTAAAGTTTGCGTGGAGAAATATATATGTATTATAATACAGTTTTTGCCAGTTGGTGGTTCCAGGCAGTTGCGTGAAGCTCCTTTAGGGGGCAGTACAGCTTCACATTGATTCCCCTGTTTGATAGTGAAGCATTGTGGACCTCAGCCCAGATGTGATCAACTGGAAAAAGAAGTGCACCTACTCTGAGCTACAAGGACGACACAAACCTGGCAGAGGCCCCCTGCGCTCCCTCCTGCCCTGCCTTATGCCCACCTGCGTGCCCATCTGCAGAAGAGCCCCACCAGTTGTTCTGTTTGTGTGCCAGGGTGAATCAAGCCCATCGGCTCCACTCCCAGGTGTGTATCTGGCTGTGTCCCCCTCCTCAACCCCCCCTGAGAGCATACTACTAGCCTTCCTGGGAGGAACCAGTGATCAAATGTCCAAAAGTCCACTTGCTGTACTATGGTTTATGAAAAGGAATGGAAACAGATTGTGTGCTGGCTGGTCCAAATAGAGTTTTGCCTTCAGAGCTTTGAAAAATGAATAATTTCCTAACTTATATGCCATCAGAGAAGCAAAGGCGAGGTTTTATGTTCTTTAATATATGATGTATTTATGTCATATATGTATATGCAATATACAATTGCAATGACTGATATGTCACGTATACTTGTTTTTCCCCCAAAACAAAATGCCTTTCATACCACATGCCTAAATGTCTAAAATGACCTTTAAGTCAACATGAAATCAAAATTGACCTGATTTACTTTAACACTTTCCTGCTCTTATTGTGCACAGTGCAATGTTAACTAATATCCAAAAAGATACTGATGCACTGATTTAGGTTCTGTTTCATTATTTAGTTTAATGTATTTAGTTTTTCTAAGGAATATATCAGCTACGTTAAAAAATGTTGCAATATCAATTTAATGTCGAATATAAGGTCTTTTGTGTTTTGGTCTATAGGTTTGTGCCGTGCTAAGTTGTGGAAGTGCCAATTTGTGAGGACCCTGCTGAAAACCAGGTTGGTGGTTTAGTTAATCTTGCATCAAGACCAGCTAGCCCCAAGGTGGCCAAAAACCCTCTAAAACCTTTAAAGCAGTCTAACTAAGTTGGCCAGGTGGAGACCAGCTAACCAATCTTATGCTTTTTTTTTTATAGGAATAGTGGAGACTTTTAATTTAGGCAATTCTTTCATTTTATTAATTAATAAATGTTTTATTTATTTTAAAATCAGTGGACATTTGGATATGCATAGCAAATAAAATAAATGAGCAGCCCTGAATGATATACTCAAGCTAATGAAAATTGAGCATCACTATCAAAAAAGCTCATCTGGTGAAATAGTACATTAAATGATAACTTCTGTGTGTGGAGACATTTTAGAGCACCTGTGGCCCTGCTAAACCATTTCCGTACATGGACTCTTTTCTGACGTAGGTACTAATGAGTAGTTAAAAGCATGCTTTTAATAGATTTATTTTCTTGCTTCATAGTTACAGATGAAGATCCCCAGTGGGGACATGCCACATTTAGCATCTTTACACATCCACGAGTTCCCTGAGCGATGACGCATGCCAGGCCTTGTGTGAAAGGTAAACTTAAGTTCTGGTAGTTCGGTCATGAAGGGTTGATGATTTAATGAGTGGTGCATCGATCTAGCTTCATTTCGTTTTGAATTTTTAATCAATAGTCATGGCTGGAGGGAGATAATAAAGATGAGGCTAATTAATGAGACTGGTAATGGGCAGGATCTCCACAGTGGATCATTCCTGTTTGAGGACCCAGCTGTTCTGATGGACGAGCACGCTAAGCTTTGATACGAGGAATGGAAGGAAGGGATTACTGCTGGAAACAGGACCTTGGCTGCTCCGAGTGCTACTTGACCTTGAGTAATGTCATACTTTATGAACTGTGCCGAAGTGAAACTCTGGTTCACCAACTGCGATGCCTCTCAAAATCAGTGTCTGAAGAAATGAGGAGATTGAGAAAAATTAGCCATAATTTCAGAAGCTGAAACTTTGAAAATGTCATAAATGGGTGCT